CATACCTACTTAAATTTGTGCTGGAATGACTCTGTGACAGCAGAAATGTGCAGAAACTACTTACGGTAGGATGTTTTGCCAAAGTAGGACGGTTTGTCAGAACACCAGTGGTTGGATAGTGCTGGGAGTGCTAGCCGCAATGCTAACTCCTGGCCTCGGACGATCGTCTGCATCGTCATTTGGCATTTCCTTTTCACCTTCCACTTCTCCTCACACTTGGCAGATGTCTTAGTCACACAGCACTTCTGACACCATGTGACACACTGTGTGCGATAAGAACTCTTTATTCACTTTATTGCCAGTGCGTAACACGTAATTACACAATTATTACACAATTGAACAATAAACACATACAACAAACAAATGTACAACAAATGTACCAGGGACAATTATTCAATTGTGAATACACCACAGTTGCTTGGATTCTGATAAGAAAAGGTGGTCTTTGGAACATTTTGTCCTGAAAGTTAATTTAAGCTAAAAATAAATAAATAAATAAATCAAAGTCAAATTAATCAGACACACTGACATTTAATATTTCATGCGGGACATTAAATCCAATGTTTCACCCATCAAATTCTTCACCACCTGCTCACTACACGGACTCTTTTACTCACTCGGAGTATTACATGTAAATAAACACAAAGTTTAAAAACTGAGATGAACTGTATGCAAATGTTCTCTTCCCTATAAAGCAGCCATGTGAGCTATGTGATTTAATACACTGTGTGGACCTTTTACTGCGTTCTGTCTATAGAAATTTAAAAGAAACAAAAAATAAACTAAATGCATAGTTTCATATTAGCTTTTACATTTATGCAAATAAATTTCTGGTTGTTTGTCTTGCCAAGATGAGAGCCTGTGCATGGCTTAAACTGTCAGTTTTAAAATGTATGGATATGTCCTGTAAATGTCTTGTTCTCTGATTTTATAAGCTGTTGGCTCTCTTAGCTTCCTGTGAGGTTGGAAAAGTAATAAACGGTTTCCACAATGTTGCAGCTCTCCTTTGATTTCACAATACAATGATGTTTTGTACCACTAGAGGGCAGTAGACACACACAGTGACCTAATGGATTTCATCTGATCCTCCGATCATATATAAATATAGTTTGAATGAAATATTTACTGAATATTTACAATGAAAACATTTATCTG